ACAAAAAAAATCTTACAATTCATATGGAAACACAAAAGACCCCGAATAGCTAAAGCAATCTTGAGAAAGAAAAACGGAATTGGAGGAATCAGGCTCCCTGACTTCAAACTATACCACAAAGCTACAGTAATCAAGACAGTATGGTACTGGCACAAAACCAGAAATATAGATAAATGGTACAGGATAGAATGCCCAGAGATAAACCCACGCACATATGGACACCAAATTTATGACAAAGGAAGCAAGAACATACAATGGAGAAAAGACAGCCTCTTCAATAAGTGGTGTTGGGAGGGCTTCCCTGGTGGCGCAGTGGTTGGGAGTCTGCCTGCCGGTGTGGGGGACGCGGGTTTGGGCCCTGGCCTGGGGGGATCCCACATGCCGCGGAGCGGCTGGGCCCATGCACCACAACTGCTGAGCCTGAGCTCTGGAGACTGTGGGCCACAGCTGCTGAGCCCGTGTGCCACGGCTGCTGAGGCCTGCACGCCTGGAGCCCATGATCCGCAGTAGGGGAGGCCGCCGCGGTGGGGGGCCCGTGCGCCGCGGCGGGGGGTGGCCCCTGCTCGCCACAGCTGGAGGGAGCCCGTGCACAGCGGCGGGGAGCCAACACAGCCAAAAATAAGTAAATAAATAAATTTATAAAAATAAATAAATAAATAAATAAGTGGAGTTGGGAAAACTGGACAGCTACATGTAAAAAATGAAATTAGAACACTCCCTAACACCATACACAAAAATAAACTCCAAATGGATTAAAGACCTAAATGTAAGACCAGACACTATAAAACTCTTAGAGGAAAACACAGGAAAAACACTCTTTGACATAAACCACAGCAAGATCTTTTTTGACCCACCTATTAGAGTAACATAAACAAATGGGACTTAATTAAACTTAAAAGCTTTTGCACAGCAAAGGAAACCATAAACAAGACAAAAAGACAACCCTCAGAATGGGAGAAAATATTTGCAAATGAAACAACAGACAAAGGATTAATCTCCAAAATATGCAAACAGCTCATGGAGCTCACTATCAAAAAAAACAAACAATCCAGTTAAAAAATGGGCAGAAGACCTAAATAGACATTTCACCAAGGAAGACATACAGATGGCCAAGAGGCACATGAAAAGATGCTCAACATCACTAATTATTAGAGAAATGCAAATCAGAACTACAATGAGGTATCACCTCATGCCAATCAGAATGGCCATTATCAAAAAAGCTAGAAACAGTAAATGATGGAAAGGGTGTGGCGAAAAGGGAACCTTCCTGCACTGTCGGTAGGAATGTAAACTGATACAATCACTATGGGAAACAGTATGGAGGTTCCTTAAAAAAACTAAAAACAGAACTACCCTGTGACCCAGCAATCCCACTGCTGGGTATATACCCCAAGAAAACCATAATTCAAAATGAGACATGCACCACAGTGTTCACTGCAGCACTATTTACAATAGCCAGGACATGGAACCAACCTAGATGTCTATCAACAGATGAATAGATGAAGAAGATGTGGCACATATATACAGTGGAATATTGCTCAGCCATAAAAAGAGATGAAATTGAGTTATTTGTAGTGAGGTGGATGGACCTAGAGTCTGTCATAGAGAGTGAAGTAAGTCAGAGAAAAACAAATACTGTATGCTAATGCATATATATGGAATCTAAAAAAAAAAAAAGTTGCAGGGCAGGAAAATAAAGAGGTAGACATAGAGAATGGACTTGGTGACATGGGGTGGGAGGGTGAAGCTGGGGCAAAGTGAGAGTAGCATCAACATATATACATTACTGAATGTAAAATAGTTGGCTGGTGGGAAGCAGCAGCATAGCACAGGGAGATTGGCTTGGTGCTTTGCGATGACCTAGAGGGGTGGGATAGGGAGGGTGGGAGGGAGGCTCAAGAGGGAGGGGATATGGGGACATGTGTATGCAAATGGCTGATTCGCTTTGTTGTGCAACAGAAATTAACACTGTATTGTGAAGCAATTATACTCCAATAAAGATCTATTAAAAAACCCAAAAAACAAAATTAAATACTTACATATAAATTTAACAAAATATGTACAAGATCTATATGAGGAAAACTACAAACCTCTAATAAATGAAATCTGAGAAGAACTAAATAAATGGAGAGATAGCCCATGTTCACCGATAGAAAGACTCAATATTGTCACCATGTCAGTTTTCCCAACTTGATCTATAGATTCAATGGCATCCCAACCAACATCCTAGCAAGCTATTTTGTCGATATGGACAAACTGATTTTTAAGTTTATGAGGAGAGGGAAAAGGCCTAGAAGAGTCAACACAATACTGAAGAAGAACAAAGTTGGAGGACTGATGCTACCTCACTACCAGACTTACCATAAATTTACAGTAATCAAGACACTGTGGTATTGGTGAAATAATAGACAAATAGATCAATGGAAAAGAATAGACAGCCCAGAAATAGACCCTCATGGGTATAGATCAACTGATCGTTGACAAAGGAACAAAGACAATACAATGGAGCAAAGATAATCCCTTCAACAGAGGGTGCTCAAATAACTGGACATCCACATACAAAAAAGAATCTCGATACAGAACTTACACTCTTCACAAAAATTAACTCAACATAGATCACAGGCCTAAACGTAAAATGCCAAACTATAAAACTTCTAGGAGATAACATAGCAGAAAACTCAGCTGACCTTGGGTATGGAAATGACTCTTTAGGTATAACACCAAAGGCACCGTCCTTGAGAGACATCAAAGATAAAGTGGATTGATTCCATTAAAATGAAAAACTTGTGCTCTGGGAAAGACAGTGGCAGGAGAACAAGAAGACAAGCCACAGACTGGGAGAAAATATTTGCAAAAGGTGTGCCTCATAAAGGACTGTTAGCCAAGATGTACAAAGGACTCTTCAAAACAGAACAATAAGAAAACACACAACCTATCTGACACATTGTAAATCAACTATATTTAAAAAAAAAAAAAGGGGGGGGGGACTTCCCTTGTGGTCCATTGGTTAAGAATCCACCTTCCAATGCAAGGGACACAGGTTCAATCCCTGGTCTGAGAAGAGCCCACATGCCACAGAGCAACTAAGCCCATGTGTCACAACTACTGAGCCTGCACTCTAGAGCCTGCGAGCCACAACTACTGAAGCCTGCACACCTAGAGCCTGTGCTCCACAACAAGAGACGCCACCACAAGGAGAAGCCCGCGCACCACAACGAAGAGTAGCCCCCACGTGTAGCAACAAAGACCCAATGCAGCCAAAAATAAAATAAAATTATAAAATATAATAGTAATAATAAATAAATAAATAAATAAAGGGACTTCCCTGGTGGTCCAGTGGTTAAGAATCTGCCTTCCAATGCAGGGGACCCAGGTTCAAGCCCTGGTCAAGGAACTAAGATCCCACATGCTGCAGGGAAACTAAGCCTGAGCACCACAACTACTGAGCCTGTGAGCCACAACTAAAGAGAAGTCCATGCGCCACAAGGAAGAGCCCACGTGCTGCAACTAAGACCCGACGCAACCAAAAATAAATAAATAAAGTATTTTTTTAAAAGAGAAAGAAAACACACAACCTGATTTAAAAAATGGGCCAAAGACCTTAACAGACACCTCATCAAAGAAGATATTCAGATGGCAAATAAGCATATGAGAAGATGCTCCACATTATATGTCATTATGGGAATGCAAATAAAAATAGCAATACGATACCACCCCTACTAGAATGGCCAAAATCTGGAACACTGACAACACCAAATGCTGGAGGGTGTGGAGCAGCAGGAACTCTCACTCACTGCTGGTGGGAACGCACAATGGTGCAGCCACTTTTTTTTTTTTAAATAAATTTATTTATTTACTTATTTTTGGCTGTGTTGGGTCTTTGTTGCTGCGCGCGGGCTTTCCATAGTTCCGGCGAGCGGGGGCTACTCTTCATTGTGGTGCACGGGCTTCTCACTGTGGTGTCTTCTCCTGTTGTGGAGCACGGGCTCTAAGCATGTGGGCTCCAGTAGTTGTGGTGCGCGGGCTTCAGCAGTTGTGGCGCACGGGCTTAGTTGCTCCGCAGCATGTGGGATCTTCCCGGACCAGGGCTCGAACCCGTGTCCCCTGCATTGGCAGGAGGATTCTCAACCACTGCGCCACCAGGGAAGCCCCAGTGCAGTCACTTTGGAAGACAGTTCGGCAGTTTCTAAAAAACTAAACCTACTCTTACCATATGATCCAGTAACCATGCTCCTTGGTAATGACCCAAATGAGCTGAAAACTTACGTCCATGCAAAAACCTGCACACAGATGTTTATAGCAGCTTCCTTCATAATTGCCAAACTTGAAACAACTAACATGTCCTTCAGTAGGTGAGTGGATGAATAAACTGTGGTGCATCCAGTGTAATATTAGTGTGAAAAACGAGCTATGATGTCATGAAAAGGCATGGAGGAAACTTAAATGTAAGTTATGAAGAGAAAGCACCCAATCTGAGAAGGCTTCATGCAATATGATTCCACCATTATGACATTCTGAAAAAGGCAAGGCTACGGAGACAACAAAACGAAAAGATCAGTGGTTGCCAGGGGTTGTGTGGGGAGAGGGATGAATAACCAGAGCACAGAAGACTTTTAGGGCAGTGAAAATACTCTGTGTGATACTATAATTATACATGTTTATAAACCCATAGAACGTACAACTCCAAGAATGAACCCTACAGTAAACTATGGGTTTAGGGTGATTATGACGTGTCAATGTAGGTTCATCAACCGTAACAAATGTATCCCTACAGTGGGAAATGTTGGTATCCGTGGATGATACACGTGGCGGGGGCGGGTCTATGGGAACTCTCTGTGCCTTCCTCTTAATTTTGCTGTAAACCTAAAGCTGCCATGGAAAAATAAAGGCCTAAAAAAAAAAGAAAGTTTCTCAACCTAATAAAGGGTTTATCGTTCAGAGTTTGATGCAGACAACAGCTGCCCCTCAGGTATTCTAATCAGGAGAGGATTGTTACCTACGTGTATTTGTCTCCCCACACCCATTCTCCACTTTCTTCCATTTTGCCCTCTGATCTGCGAAGGTGCACGTGCATGGACCACACCACACAGGCTCCTGTGCCTTCTGACCTCCAGTTGAGTCTGGAAGGAAACTGGAGGGAAGAATAATGTTGCTAGATAAGATATGGATGTCCAGTTAAACTTGGATTTCAGATAAGCAATGAAAAATTTTTTAGTGTAAGTATGCACCAGGCAAGGTTTGGAACACATTTATGCTAAAATATCATTCGTTGTTTAACTGAAACTCAAAATGAGCTAGGTGTCTTTTTTTCTGTTTGCTAAACTTGACAACACTAGGGAGGAAGGAAAGTGAAGTGGAAACATCCCCGTGGGGTCACTGTGGTTCAGCTGAGTCCCTTGACCAAAGGCCACAGTTCCACCTCGAAGCCTCTCGTTCAGCTTTCTCCCTCCGGGTCGGGTACCACCCCGCTGGCGTCCTCAGGGCACACTCAGTCCCTGGCTCTACATGACATTCTCCTCTGTGGTTTCCCTCCACCTTGTAGTTTCCCTTCATCCTTTAAAATAGTACTTTTATTAAAACGTCATCCAGTTACTGAATGTCTTATGAGGACGCTCAGTGATACAGGATTCAGTACTAGGAACTAGGTGCTTTTAACATCACGGAAGGGTTGGAGGAGTGGAAACTAGGCTGTGATGGCTAATTTAACATACCAGCTTCTCTGGATTATGGGGTGCCCAGATATTTGGTTACACATTATTCTGAGTGTGTCTTGAAGGGTGTTTCTGGACAAGGTTGGTATTGGAACCGGCAGTCTGAGTACAGCAGATATAGCCCCCGTCCCCAGTGAAGGTGCCCTGCCCCCAGTGAAGCGGGGTCTCAGTCAAGGCACTGAAGGCCCGGCGAAAACACAGAGGCCGAGCGAGGGAGTGTTCCATCTCCGCCTGACTGTCTTCAGCCTGGGATGCTGGTCCTCACCTGTCTTGGGACCAGGACTCAGAATGCAACTTACACCATCTCTCTGTTCCCAGGCCACAGGATTTGGACTAGATTTAGAGCATGACCTCCCCTCTTCTCAAGCCTTGGGACACAGCTGCAGCTGTCCTGTCGGCTGTCTCTGGCTGCCAGCTTGCTGAGTGCAGACAGTCACGGAGCCAATTCCTTAAGGTCTCTCGGTCTCTGTTTCTCTCCACCTACCCTATTGGTTCTGTTTCTCTGGAGAACCCTGACTGATAGATTTTGGTGCCAAGAGTGGCTCTAGAGGAGCAGAGTATTAAAGATGAGTTTTCTGAATTGGTCTGCAGTTTCTAGAATTGGCCCCTAATCTAATTATATAAAGACTCTAATGACTCTAGTTCCAGTAGTACAGTTTACCAATGGTCCATGGTGTGACCTGGCGATCGAGACGCACAAAATATATCCATTGGATACTCCTAACAGATCGCCTGTGAGAAGCAAGGAGGCAGATGACTGTGTATATGATATTTGTGAGCATGCTCTTCCTCTGCAATCTCTTTTATTTTGTATTAATTGATATTGAGTACAGTTGCTCTACAACGTTGTGCTACTTTCTGCTGTGCAGCAAAGTGAATCAGTTATAGGTACACATATATCCACTCCAGTTTGGATGTCCTTCCCTTCTAGGTCACCACAGAGCACTGAGTAGAGTCCCCTACGCTATGCAGTAGGTTCTCATTACTTATCTATTTTACACATAGCAGTGTGTATATGTCAATCCCAATCTCCCAGTTCATCCCACCTCCCTTCCCTCCTTGGTAACTGTAAGTTTGTTTCCGACATCTGTGACTCTGTTTCTGCTTTGCAAGTAAGTTCATTCGTATCATTTTCCTAGATTCCACAAATAAGCAATGTTATATGATATTCGTTTTTCTCTGTCTGACTTACTTCACTCTGTATGACAATCTCTAGGTCCATCCATGCTGCTGCAAATGGCATAGTTTCGTTCTTTTTCATGGCTGAGTAATATTCCACTGTATAGATGTGCCACATCTTCTTTACCCATCCCTCTGTTGATGGACATTTAGGTTGCTTCCATGTCCTGGCTACTGTAAATATTTGCAAGCATTGTGGAAAAACTAATGAACATAATGAGATCGACTAGTTGCTGGACAAAGTAGTGGAAGAAAAGGGTGAGCTCAGGTACTCAGACTCCCAGCTCAAGTGTTGTATAATGAGCCGAAGGTGGCTGTGTCTTCCCTGAAGGAGACCCTTATCTCTTGTAGCGCCAGGGCTGAAGTGGCTGAAAACAAAAAAGCACAGTCTCCTCCTGTGACTTACAGTGAAGCACGAGGCAAGCTGAACTGCCAGTCGCACAGTGTTTGCTGTGGAGGTGAGGGTGCTGCTTTGCAAGCATGGGATTCTGCGAGGTGGAACGGGGGGGTGGGAAGACCCTGGGGAAGGTGGAGACACTGAGCCCCGAGTTCTGATGAGTCTTTTTGACAGGTGGAGAGCCCCACACCCCGTGGAAGTAGCCCCCCGGCCCCCATCCCCTTCCCCGGTGGAGTCGGGCTCTTTGCCCCTGCCTGGCCTGAGGCAGTTCACAGGGGGTTCTCCTCAGGAGCCATCGCCTCGCCACCCTAGCCCCGTGACTCGCTAGTCATGTACCAACGGGTAGCTAAAGGGGGGGTACGAAGTGTGGCCCCTGAGGAGGTGCACTGCACTCCAAAGAACTCCTTGAGTCTCTAATTTTACAGCCAGGAGTCTGGGGGAAGGGTGGGGACGGATACTGAGAGGCTGGGAGAACGGTGGAGGGAATGTGAGTCCAGATCAGGCTAATTTATTGATTCGAGTGCACGAAGCAGAGAATCTACACTGAACGTTGCCGCCTCGGAGTTGGAAAACGCTATCTGGTTGGTTGGCTGAAACGTGGACCAAAAGTTGCCCGAATCGTGAGCTGGAAATAGCAGAACTGCCTTGGTTCAATGAAGAGGCAGGGAGACAAAGGCTTAGGGAGATTCAAATGTTAAGAGTGGATTTGTCTTTTAAGACGTACTCACCAGCACTGGGAAGGTCCAGAACACCTACCTTTCACTAATACTGGAAGAAATACATTTGTGAGGGGAGAGCTGTCACCCTTGAAGAGCTCCGTGGTCACTCTTCTCTGTCGGCCGGACCTTCCAGTGGGAACTGCAGTCATGCTTTGGGAAACCGAAATGCCAGGGAATAACTGGATCCCAGGTGGGAGGGGCCCACTGCCAAAGGCTAGTTGATGGTGTTCCTACAAATAAGATAGATAGGAAGACTATTGCGTCCTTACTTTATGTGTAGAATCAGAAAATTTCTAGGTCAGTTGAATAAAAGTCTCACCTGAATCAGAAAATCAGGGCGTCATGGCCCGTCAATCAGCTCCCACACTTGAGCTAGTTTACAGGCTCAGGGCCCTTGAATGAACAAGAGAACAGGTCCTCAGAGCAAGGTTCCCAGGTCACTGCCTGAAATTCATGCTGTTAATCTTCCTCCCAGCCTTCACCAAAGGCACCGATGGCCTTTTACCAGGTTCACTGTGCTTTAGGGAAAAGGAAATGATCAGACTTTTCAGGGACTACTGGACACTGGCTCTGAATGGACACTGATTTCAGGAGAACCCATGTCCCTGTGGCCCCCCAGTCAGAGTAGGGGCTTGTGGAGGTCAGGTGATCAATGGAGGTTTAGCTCACGTCTTTCACACAGTGAGCCCCGTGGGTGAGCCCCATGGGTCCCCAAACACATCTTGTGTTTTTCTCCCAGTTCCACAATGCATAATTGGAATAGACAGCAGCTGGCTGTACCCCTTTACTGGTTCCCGGACTTGTGGAGTGAGAGCTTAGGGGTGAGAAAGAACACGTCCCTGTCCATAAGGCCCACCAGGAGCAGTTTGCTCTCAGCTGGCAAAGCTGGCAATTAGACCTTCACTGTCCTACCTCGGAGGATATCAACTCTCCAGCCCTATGTCAGAGTTTAGTTCACAGGGGTCTTGATCACATTTGTAAGTGTACAAAACATTATTGTGAAGGAGCTCTTTATATATTCTGGCTATGAATCCCTTAACAGATACATGGTTTATAAATATTTTCTCCCATTCCATAGGTTGACTTTTCACTCTGTTGATTGTTTCTTTTTTTTTGTTGTTGCTTGTTTCCTTTGCTGTTTTTAATTTTGATATAGTCCTATTGTCTATTTTTGTTTCTGTTACCTGTGTTTTTGGTGCCATATCCAAGAAATAATTGCCAAATCCAATGTCATGAAGCTATCCCCCTATGTTTTATTCTAAGTGTTTTATAGTTTTAGCACTTCATCAGAGGTCTTTGATCCATTTCAAGTTAATTTTTATATACGGTGTAAAGTAAGAATCCAACTTCAAAAGAAAAAGAAGTGGAGGTATCATATGTCCTGATTTCAAAACATGCCACAAAGCTACAGTCATCAAAACAGTGTGGTCCTGACATAAACACAGACTTGTAGACCAATGGAATGAATAGAGAACCCAGAAAAGAACCCTCAAGTACATGGTCAAATGGTCTTTGATAACAGTGCAAGGGTCCAAAATGTAGTTGCTTATGCTAAGCCCCTGTCACAAAACTGACACTTAATTATAGTTTTAGTTGTCTTACTTAGATTATTACTAGTTAAGTAATCTGCCTTATAGACCCCTTCCATCCCCTAAAGGAAAGTAACTTTGTAATAACCAACATGATTTTTGCAGTTTTGCCTCATATAATTTCCCTGTTCCTGCTCCCTTCTGCCTATAAAAGCCTTTCATTTTTTTTTTTAACATCTTTATTGGGGTATAATTGCTTTACAATGGTGTGTTAGTTTCTGCTTTATAACAAAGTGAATCAGTTATACAAAAGCCTTTCATTTTGTGCAGTTTTGTTTTTTTTTTTGCCGCACTTTGTGGCTTGTGGGATTTTAGTTCCCTGACCAGGGATTAAACCTGGGCCCTTGGCAGTGGGAGTGTGGAGTCCTAACCGCTTAACCACCAGAGATTTAAAAAAAATATTTATTTATTTATTTGGCTGTGCTGCGTCCTAGTTGCGGCAGGTGGGATCTTTAGTTGTGGATGCAGACTCTTAGTTGCGGCATCCAGGATCTAGTTCCCTGACCAGGGATTGAACCCGGGCCCCCTGCACTGGGAGCACAGAGTCTTAATCACTGGATCACCTGGGAAGTCCCCTTCTGTACAGCTTCTTGAAACTCCTTTCTATCTGCCAGATTGGATGCTGCCAAATTTGAATCGATTTTTGGTCAAATAAACTCTTTAAAAATTTTAATATGCCTCAGTTTATCTTTTAACAGTCTCTTCAACAAATGGTATTGGAAAAACTGGATATCAACATGTGAAAGAAAGAAGCTGGACCCTTACCTTACCCCATATACAAAAATTAATTCAAAATGGATTAAAGACCTAAATGTAAGACCTCAAACATATAAAACTCCTAGAAGAAAACAGGGGAAAACTTCATGGTATTTGATTTGGCAATGATTTCTTGGACATGACACCAAAAGCACAGGCAACAGAAGCAAAAATAGAAAAATGAGACCACATCAAACTTAAAAACTTCTGCATAGCAGAGGAAACAATCAACAGAGTGAAAGGCAATTTACATAACGGGAGAAAATATTTGCAAACCATATATCTGATAAGGAATATATAGAACTTCACAATAATATAGTGTATACTTTAAAATTTAAGAGAGTAGATCTTGTGTTAAGTGCTCTTAATATAACAAATAAATAAATAAATTTGGAACTCTCGTGCAATATTTTTGGGAATGTAAAACAGTGCAGCCACTATGGAAAACAGTATGGAGGATCCTCAAAAAAATCAAAAATTTAATTAGTGTGTGATCCAGCAATCCCACTTCAGGGTATAAATCCAAAACAATTGAAAACATAGCAGCATTGGGACTTCCCTGGTGGCATAGTGGTTGAGAGTCTGCCTGCCAGTGCAGGGGACACAGGTTCAATCCCTGGTCCGGGAAGATCCCACATGCCATGGAGCAACTAAACCTGTGCACCACAACTACTGAGTCTGCGTTCTAGAGCCCGAGAGCCACAACTACTGAGCCTGTGAGCCACAACTACTGAGCCCATGAGCCACAACTACTGAGCCCACATGCCACAACTACTGAAGCCCACGTGCCTAGAGCCCGTGCTCTGCAACAAGAGAAGCCACAGCAATGAGAAGCCCACACACTGCAATGAAGAGTAGTCCCCGCTCACCACAACTAGAGAAAGCCCGTGTGCAGCAACGAAGACCCAACACAGCCAAAAAAAAAGAAAACATAGCAGCATTATTCACAATAGCCAAGAGATGGAGGCAACACAAAGGTCCACCAGTGGATGACTGGATAAACAAAATGTTGTACTGTGTATACATACAATGAAATATCATTCAGCCTTAAGAAAAGGAAATCTTGTCACATGTTACAATATGGATGACTTGAGGACATTATGCTCAGTGAAATAAGCAAGTCACAAAAGACAAATACTATATGATTCCACTTATATGAGGTACCTAGAATAGTCACAATGTTAGGAACAGAAAGTAGAATCATGGTTGTCAGTGAGTTTGAAGAGAGGGAAAAAGAAAATTGTTCAATACATACAGTTTCAGTTTTGCAAGATGAAAAAGTTCTAGAGATCTGCTGCAGAAATATGCATATAGTTAACACTATTGTAGCATATATTTTTTAAATGGTTATGATGGTTTTTTTTTTTTTTTTTTTTCTGTACATGGGCCTCCCACTGTTGTGGCCTCTCCTGTTGCGGAGCACAGGCTCTGGACACACAGGCTCAGCGGCCATGGCTCATGGGCCCAGCCGCTCTGCGGCATGTGGGATCTTCCCGGACCAGGGCACGAACCCGTGTCCCCTGCATCGGCAGGTGGACTCCCAACCACTGCGCCACCAGGGAAGCCCAATGATGGTGTTTTTTAACCACATAAAATAAAAAATAATAATAAAAGAAAAAAGAATCCAACTTCATTCTTTTTCATGTTGACATCCAGTTTTGACATCATCATTTATTGAAAAGGCAGTCCTTTTCCCATTGAATAGGGAATGGCGCCCTTCCTGAAAGTCATTCGAAACTGAATCCAGCAGTATATTAAAAGGATTATAGGGAATTCCCTGGCAGCCCAGTGGTTAGGACTCTGCACTTTCACTGCTGAGGGCATGAGTTCAGGGAACAAAGATCCCGTATGTTGCACTGCGTGGCCAAAAAAACAAAAAAAAAACAACAAAAAAAAACAGGACCATACACGATGAGCAAGTGGGATTTATTCCTGGAATGCAAGGAAGTTCCAATATACAAAAATTGATCAATGTAATATACTCTATTAACAGAATGAAGGGAAAAAAGAAAAAAAACACATGATAATCTCAAATGATGCCAAAAAAGCATCTGGCAAAATTAGCAGCTTTTCATGATAAAAACACAATATATACTAAGAACAGAAGGAAACTATCTTAAAATAATAAAGCCCATATATGAAAAATCAACAACTCAATGGTGAAAAATTTAAAGCTTTTCCCCTAAGAACAAAAATAAGATGAGGATTCCATTTCCCCCACTTTTATTCAGCATAGTATTGGAGGCAAGAAAAAGAAAAAAAAGGCATCCAGACTGCAAAAGAAGAAGTAAAACAATCTTTGTTCATAGATAACAAAATTTTATAAGAAATAAGCCCTAAAGATTCCATGGGGGGAAAAAACAACTGTTAAGGCTAATTCAGTAAAATTTCAAGATACAAAATCAACACACAAAAATCAATTGCATTTCTAAACATTAAAACTGAGCAGGGAATTCCCCGGCAGTCCAGTGGCTAGGACTCCATGCTTCCATTGCAACCAGTGATCCCTGGTTGGGGAACTAAGATCCTCACACCAGCATGGCCAAAAAAAAAAAAATAAATAAAAGAACAATCTGAAAAAGAAATTAAGAAATCAGTTCATTTACAAGATCATAAAAAATAATAAAATACTTAGGAATAAATTTGACCAAGGAGGTAAAAGACATTTACACTGAAAACTACACAACATTGCTGAAAAAATTTAAAAAGACACAAACAAATGGAAAGAAGTTTTCATCTTCCAGTCTTCAACAAACGGTGGTGGCAAAACCAGATAGTCACATGCAAAAGAATGAAGTTGGATCCTTACCTAATACCATATACGAAGTTTGACTCAAAGAGGATCAAAGACTTAAATGTAAGAGACAAAATTATAAATCTGTTAGAAAAAAACCATAGGGCTAAATATTTATGACCTTGAATTTGGCAGTGATTTCTTGTACATGACACCAAAGGCACAGGCAACAAAAGAAAACATAGACAAATCAAACTTCATAAAAATGTAAGCTTTTGCACATCAAAGGACTCTATCAACAGAGTAAAAAGGCAACCCACAGAGTGAGAGAAAATATTTGCAAATCACATATCTGATAAGGGATTATAATCTGCAATATATAGAGAACTCCTAAAATTCAACAAGGAAACAATTGAATTAAAAAATGGGCAAAGGACTTGAATAGACATTTCTACAAAGAAGATGTACAAACGCCAACAAGCACATGAAAGACACTCAACATCACTAACTATTAGGGAAATGCACATGAAAACCACATGAGATACCACCTTTCACATCTATCAAGAAAACTAGAGGAAATTCCCTGGTGGTCCTGGTAGTTAGGACTCTGCACTTCCACTGAAGGGGGCAGGGGTTCAATCCCTGGGGGGGTGGGGCGGTGGGAAATAAGATCCCACAAGCCACGCGGTGCAGCAAAAGAGAAAGAGAAAAAATATTACAAATATGTGGAAATTAAACACCACACTCTTGGGACTTCCTTGGTGGTGCAGTGGTTGAGAGTCCGCCTGCCAACGCAGGGGACACGCGTTTGAGCCCTGGTCCGGGAAGATCCCACATGCAGTGGAACAACTAAGCCTGTGTGCCACAACTACTGAGCCTGTGCTCTAGAGCCCGCGAGCCACAACTACTGAAGCCCACGTGCCACAACTACTAAAGCCCGCGTGCCTAGAGCCTGTGCTCTGCAACAAGAGAAGTCACCGCAATGAGAAGCCCGTGCACCGCAACAAAGAGTAGCCCCCATTCACTGCAACTAGAGAAAGCCCGCGTGCAGCAACGAAGACCCAACGCAGCCAAAAATAAATAAATAAATTTATAAAAAACAAACAAACAAGAAACACCACACTCTTAAAGGGTCAAAGGGTCAAAGAAGGACTCACAAGGGAAATTAGAATATACATTGAGACAAATAAAAATAAAGACACAACACACCAAACCTTATAGAATACAGCAAAGGCAGTGCTAGGAGGAAACCTTATAGCCCTAAATGACTAATAGTAAAAACGAACAGAGGTCTGAAATCACTAAGCTAATTATATGCCATAAGTAACTAGAAAAGGAAGACCAAACGAACCCCAAACTTAGCAGAAGGAAGGACATAGCAAAGATTAGAGAAGAGATCAATGAAATAGAGAATAGAAAAACAACAGGGAAATCAAAAAACCCAAAAGTTGGTTCTTTGAAAAGATCAACAAACTTGACAAATGGTTAGATAATTTACTAATCAAAAAATAGAGAAGACATGGGACTTCCCTGGTGATCTAGTGGTTAAGACACCATACTTCCAATGCAGGGCATGTGGTGGGTTTGATCCCTGGTCGGGGAACTAAGTTTGGGGAACTAAGATCCCACGTGCCTCGAGGTGCAGCCAAATAAATAAATAAACAAATAAATCTCATTCAATAAGATTTTTTTTAAAAAATGGAGAAGGCAAACTACTAAAATCAGAGATGGAAATGGGGACGTTACTATTGATTTTAAGAAATTAAAAAGAATTATAAGAGTATCGTACAAACAATTGTACACCAACAAGGTGGATAACCTAGATGAAATGAATAAATTCCTAGAAATACACAATCTATGACAACTGAATCATGAAGAAATAGAAAATCTGATTAGATCTCCTAACAGAGTGATTGACACAGTAATCAAAAACCTTGCAATAAAAAAAAGCCCAGGACCAGATGTCTTTACTGGTGATTTCCATCAAACATTTTTTTAAAAAATAGATTTATTTTATTTATTTGTTTGCTTGTTTATTTATTTTTTGGCTGTGTTGGGTCTTTGTTGCTGTGCGCGGGTTTTCTCTAGTTGCGGCGAGCGGGGGCTACTCTTTGTTGAGGTGCGCAGGCTTCTCCTTGCGGTGGCTTCTCTTGTTGTGGAGCACAGGCTCTAGGCACGTGGGCTTCAGTAGTTGTGTCACATGGGCTTCAGTAGTTGTGGCTCGCGGGCTCTAGAGCACAGGCTCAGTAGTTGTGGTACACAGGCTTAGTTGCTCCACTGCATGTGGGATCTTCCCGGACCAGGGCTCGAACCCATGTCCCCTGCGCTAGCAGGCAGATTCTTAACCACTGCGCCACCAGGGAAGCCCCTCCACCAAACATTTAAAGAAGAAATAACATCGATCCTTATCAAATCCTTCCAAAAAATTGAAGAGAAGGAAACACTTCTTAATTCATTCTATGAGGCTACCGTAATCTGCTATCAAAGCCAGACAAGGACACTACAAGAAAAGAAAACTAAAGCTCCATATCATTTACGAACATTGATGCAAAAATACTCAATAGTAGCAAACTGAATTCGGATTCAAAGTTTTTAAAACCTTAAAATCAAAAGAATGAAGAGAAAAAAGCACTCCATCATCTCAATTGATATAGAAAAAGCACTTGACAAAATTCAACATCTCTTTATGATAAAAATAGTTGACAAGATAACTTCCCTGTTGGTCCAGTGGTTAAGACTCTGTGCTCCCAATGCAGGGGGCCCGGGTTTGATCCCTGGTCAGGGAACTAGATCCTGCATGCCACAACTAAAAGAGGCCACATTCCGCAACAAAGATCGCACATGCAGCAACTAAGACCTGGTGCAGCCAAAAAAGAAAAAAAGTTGATAAACTAGGAGTAGAAGGAAACTACCTCAACATAATAAAAGTCATTCATGAAAACCCCACAGCTAAATGGGGTTTTAACCCATCATACTTAAAACTTTTCCTCTCAAATCAGGAACAAGGCTTACAAACCGATTCAGGAAAGTAGTAGGACAGAAAATCACACAAAAAAATCAGTTACTTTTCTATACACTAATAATAAGCAACCAAAAAAGGAAATTAAGAAACATAATTCCATTCACAAGAGCATCAAAGACGAATACAATGCTAAGGAATTAGGATTAACTTAACCAAGGAGATGAAAGACATACAATGAAAACTACATAATATTGCTGTGAGAAAATAAAGCAGACCCAAATAAATGGAAACATATCCTGTGTTCACTGGAAGACTTAATATTGTTAATGACAATATCACCCAAAGTGGTCTACAGGCTCGATGCAATCTCCAACAAAATCCCAACAATGATTTTGCAGAAATAGAAAATCCATCCTGGGACCTCCCTGGCAGTCCAGTGGTTAAGATGCTACACTTCCATTGCAGCGGGTACAGGTTCGACCCCCGGTGGGGGAACTAAGATCCTACATGCCACGCGGCCAAAAAAAAGAAAAAAAGAAAGAAAGGAAGGAAAAGAAAAAGAAAATCCATCCTGAAATTCATATGGACTCTCCAGGGACCCCAAAGCCAAAGTCATCTTGAAAAAGAAGAAAGCTGGAGGACTCACAGCTCCTAATTTCAAAACTTACTCTAAACTATAGTAATTAAAGGTATGGTGGTACTGGCTTAAAGACAGACCTATAAACTGTGGAATACATAGCCCAGAAATAAGTCCTCCCCAGTGCTGTCAAGTGACTTACAGGGGTGCCAAGACCACCCCAGTAATATTTTAACAAAATTTTTATGACAAAATTCTTCCAAAATTGATTTTAGTGGTGAGGGAAGCCAGCATCCTGTGCTAGTTCCCCATCTTAACAGAAACGCAGGTATGATTTATTGTCTTTTTCTAGCTCCTTTGCATCAAGAAAGCAGCAAGTTCAACTGCAGTCAATTTCTGATCACCCAAATGCTGATCTCTGCAACGAAAAATATTTTTGTCCATTTTGAGACACTCCTGGTTAACAAGATGCTAGCTTACTTCATTTCCTCAGGGGTTGTAGTATCTCCCCACAGTAGTTAGAGAGCATCTCAGAGGAGGGAATGACACCTCAGCTGTCAAGTGAAATCCCTTCTACATCAAGTTTCTTACCCCTGGGACCAAAGTCACGCTGCTTCCAGCCCAGCCATAAATAATGGCTGCTAGAGTGAGGTTTTCCTCATCAATTCTCTGGGCCAGAGTCGCTGCTCAGTAAACTGCTGCAATTTTCCTAATGTAGGATACAGAGGAACGACCTAGGAAGGGTTATCAAATAGTATACAAGTCTAGACGGTTTGTTCTAGAGTTCCTTTTCATTGAAATAAAAAATGACTATTAGCAAACACCAATTAGCTATGTGAACGGCAAGGGTTTTAACCTCTCTGTAACCCTTTTCAGCTTCTATGTCACTAATCAAAAAACATTATGAGGAGGGCTTCAAGAGAGTCTTTAAAATTCTAAGGAAATTCTACGGAAATCTAACAAGTACAAATCATTTAAGGATGATTTGTACTTATTGGATGGAATGAGGGCTTCTCTAGCCAGCAACAATAAAGTTTTTGAAAATCTGTGTCTCTTCTACGCCTTTTAATTAATTCTCAAAGTCCAACGTGTAAAGGATATAACATAGAAGAACTTCTCTGTAATGCTATTTTCTAAAGAGTAAACTTTATCACGAAGATGGTGTGTTTCAGACTTTTCCAGAATTAACAGATTGTATCATATGTAATTTTTCCCATAAAATAACCTCATCACACGGATCTTAGAACATTTAGTGGTTTTGGTAGATATAATATTTTATTCTTGTCTGCTCATTTAATCATGGATTGTACTAGTTAGAGGCTAATTTTTGCAGATAAGCGATTTTCTAAGTGAAGAAAAGGCATGCAATTTTTTCAAAAGATGAGAAAGAACTTAAAAAGCATTGATGAGTAGTCAGTCAAGTAAGAGGTTTACAGTTTCTTTCCTAGAATCTACTAATTGCTATAATTTCTCAGATGTACTAGAAAAGGTTTTTTTTTTTTTTGTCTGAGCAGCATATAGGATCTTAGTTCCCCAGCCAGTGATCAAACCCTCGCCCCCAGCAGTAGAAGCCCGGAGTCCTAACCACTGGCCCACCAGGGAAGTCTGGAAAACATTCTTTTAATGGTTTTAATTCTTTTAAGTCTCTGAAACCATTGTTTTAATTAATAAATTAATTTACTTATTTTGGCCGCACCGGGTCTTGGTTGCAGCATGCGTACTCTTAGTTGTGGCGTAGTTCCCCAACCAGGGATGCAACCTGGCTCCTTGCATTGGCAGCTCGGGGTCTTACCCACCGGATCACCAGGGAAGTCGTCCCTGAAACCATTCTTTTGACATGCATCTTAACTATCCAGGGCCAGTATCCTGTTTTCTCCCTCCTGAATCCCCTCAGGGCACACCTTGGGATGGGAGTTGGGATGCCATCCCTGAGGGCTTTATGACCACAACGTCTTTTGTTTACTGATAGGACATTTTTTTGTCCACATGACCCAAGTTAATATGCCACTTTGACAAAAGAAAAAATGCATTTGGATTAGCTTTAAAAAGTTTTCTCATAAATATTTGATTTAGTACATAAAATCTAATACCTATCTGAATTTTTGAAAATTAGTCTATATCTGTTTCTGTAGATTAGAGTCCTAAAGTTAGAATGAGAGATCATTGCTCATTTCAGCAGCACATGTACTAAAATTGGAACGGTACAGAGACGATTAGCATGGCTCCTGTGCAAGGATGACATGCAAATTTGTGAAGCGTTCCATATTTTTTTTAATTTTCAAAAACAATTAAAAAAAAGTATGAGATCATAGTATATGCAAATTTTACCTCTAACAGATATTTGTATTCATCTACCAGTTTGTATTCCAACTATTAGTACTTGAGATTAACTCTTTTTCTCATACTTCATCAGCATTGGTTTTTAACAGTTTTTATTGTTATTTAAGAAGCAGAAAATTGTAAGAAGTTAAAAATTGTAAGATTTTTGTTTCAGGATGCCTACTGCAGCGAAATTTGTGATTGTAAAAAAATTGAAAATACCCTAAGCAGTAATTAATATATAAATAATTACAAATTAGGGAATATACTTATTGCAGAATATCTACTATTAGCCATGAAGAAGGAGGTGGAACTACAGGGTATTTCTCCCAAGCTTAGGCAGTTCATATTCCGTGTGCCTCTCCTAAGTTCTTCACGTATATCAAAGCTTCCAACTCTCATTACAACCCCATGTGGACAGTACTATCATCACATCTAACTTGTGTTTAAAACAAAATTCACCTAAGTTTGGAGAGCTAATTGGCTTTATTCAAAGATTCATGAAGCAGGCAGCATCACTTCTAGCAGATGGAAGGGCCCTCCGCAGAGCTGTACAGAATGGAAGGTTTTTATAAGCTGGAGGGTGGGGCAAGTAAGTCATTAGCAAAAGAAAAGAAAGGGTTATTTGGGGCCAGGACATCACTTTTTGGGATAAAGGACTGGGCAAGGGTTTTGTCATGCAGACTGCCTCTCCTTCCTCTTGGTTGGGGGCGGGGGGAGGGGCGGGGGTGAGGATGGTATTATTTCATTGGTGCCAACCAGAAAATTCCAAACTGGTTGGTTAAGATTACATTTCTGGGGAAGGTTGAAACTGTAATTAGATTAGGTGTTAAATCTTGGCTTTAGCACAAGTGATGCCATTTTGGGCCTATGGTTTTTTCCTTTAACAATTATAAATAAGGGAACCAAGGCAGTACCACATAGCAATACTGTAGACTACTAAGCAGCAATTAAAAAGGATTAGGGAGGGCTTCCCTGGTGGCGCAATGTTTAAGAACTTGCCTGCCAGTGCAGGGGACACAGGTTCGAGCCCTGGTCCAGGAGGATCCCACATGCCGCGGAGCAACAAAGCCCGAGAGCCACAACTACTGAGGCCGTGCGCCTAGAGCCCGTGCTCTGCAACAAGAGAAGCCACCACAATGAGAAGCCCGAGCACTGCAACGAAAAGTAGCCCCTGCTGCAACTAGAGAGAAAAGCACGTACAAAGACCCAATGTAGCCAAAAATAAATAGATAAATAAATAAATTTATATATATAAAAAAAGGATTAGGTGGACCTATTTGTACTGATCTGGAACATGTCTGTACCATATCATTAACTAAAAAAGCCAATGTGAGAGTGATAAATGATACGATTCCATTTTATATTTTAAGAGTATAAATGTTTATGTAAACATACCTGTGTAAGCATAGAATCAAATACAGAATATTATTCTATTAATAATTTGGACTTGAAAGATTTGTGAAGAGGGTTCCGACTGATGTCTTAATGTCTAATTTACCTAATTTTAAAGGAAAGAAAGAAAAAAGAGGAGGAAGGAAAAGAAAGAAGTAAAAGGAAGAAGTGAAATAGGGTTCATCCTTGGGACCTCCCTGGCGGTCGAGTGGTTAAGACTCCACACTTCCAATGCAGGGGACGCGGGTTCGATTCCTGGTGGATCCCACATGCTTCGTGCTCAAAAAAAAAAAAAAAGTGTTCATCCTTATGGTAAGCCAAAATCGGGTGCCACCATGGTTAAGCAGCTTTTTTCTTCCACGTAGTGAAGGAGAGAAGAAAATTATTAACCTACTCAGAATTTGGAAGCGATTCAAAGCAAACGTGTCCCCTTAGTTTATTTAAACAAAGTCATTAAGTTTTCTCCAACTGTCTGATTATTACACGATCTGATATTTACTACATTACACACTGGTCACTACCACACCAGCTTCCTCCCCATTCCCCACTTGCAATACTAACTGGCCTCCAGATTTTTTTCTGAAAACAACAAAAGATTTTGTTTCTTAAGCCAATTAGTTCCAAATAACTCTTACATCTTCACTTAGCTTTCCCGATGTTTCTGTAAGAGAGGCCCACTGGACTATATTGCAAATGGCTTGGGGCCATTTACTTTGTTTCAATTCAGTTTCTCTAGGTAGAACCAGACATTTTGTCAGTGCATTTGGGGATTACAATGCATATTTCCCCAGAGACACGCTATAACCTATTCCCACTTTAAACTCTAGGACACGCCCTATATTAGGAAAATTTTTATGAACTATATAATAGAAATAAATTAGTAAGTATATGTTCTGCATCTATAGTTACAACGCGCATGGGAATACAAAGATAAATAACCTATCATTCCTGCCCCCCAAGAGAACAGGGAGAAGACCTGTAGACAACAAATATTTCCACCTACGTTACAGTATTTTCTTCGCTGTAACGAAGTTCTGCGGAAGAGGAGGGGAAAAGGGTAAGGGAAATTCGACAGAGGAAGTAATGTTTCAGCTGGACCTTCAAACAACAGTCTTTAAACTTTTGCTCACATACTTTCTAGAAAGATTTTGATGAACTATAAAACCTTTTACACATATAACATGACATCTAACATAATTTCTGTGTAGTGCAAATATGTCCATTAAAAATACAAATCTTAAATCACTTTTATTAATGTGTTCAATGGCATCTAAATACTGTATTGTCAGGCTTCCATGGTGGTGCAGTGGTTAAGAATCCACCTGCCAATGCAGGGGACGCGGGTTCGAGCCCTGGTCCAGGAAGATCCCACATGCCGTGGAGCTGCTAAGCCCGTGAGCTACAACTACTGAAGCCCGTGCTCCCTAGAGTCCGTGAGCCACAACTACTGAGTGTGCATGCCACAACTACTGAGGCTTGCGTGTTCTAGAGCCCATGCTCCGCAACAAGAGAAGCCACCGCAATGAGAAGCCCACGCACCACAATGGAGAGTAGCCCCTGCTCGCCGCAACTAGAGCAAGCCCGCGCACAGCAATGGAGACCCAACGCAACCAAAATAAATAAATAAATAAAAATTTAAAAAGTACATGAACAAGAAATTCTTCAGTAGTAGGAAATTTTACATGATTCGTTCTTCTCGCTTGAACTTCATTTCCTTTCTACTTCCCCCATAGAATTTTATCCTAGTGTAATATATATTTGTTCTTAAAAGTCTGCTGGCAATCATCCTATGATATTGCTCTGCAACAAAAATATGTAAATAAGTTTTCATTGAAAAATTTCTAGGCCCATAAAGCTAAGTGTTAGACATTTTTTAATCAATGAAATATGAATTACATTGCTAACTTTGATTAAACTGACACAAGGTACTATGCACTTCAATTAATAATGTATAAAAAGTAGAATTTTATAGAAATTCTTACTTAAGGTATTTTTTAATTCTCTTTTTGATTTCCTCGTTGATCCACTGGGTTTTTTTAGTCGCATGTTGTTTAGTCTCCATGTAATGATTTTTTCCCCATTTCTTTTTCTGTGGTTGACTTCCAGCTTCATGTTGTTGTGGTCAGAGAAGATGCTTGGCCACAGGGAAGATGGCGCCAAGGACCACGCAGCGCACGACCCAGTGGCCAGGGGATGGGGCCCGCGGCTCTGTAGGTGCCTCGAGCTCTCACAGATGGGGTGCTGTTCAGGCCACTAAGACCAGGACGATGCAGAGCAAGAAAGCTGACCCCAGGAGCCTGCTTCTTTCCCTCACATCCTCTGCTTCCCCGGCCAGCATTAAACTCACAGCATCCAGGGCAGAGGGGATCCACCGTGGCCACCAAGCAGGGAAGAAGGGACAGGTGTCAGCACGGGACAAAGGGTCCTGTGGTCCACCATGGGTGGCGTGGGAGGCCTGCGAGACACCCAGGAGGAGGATCATTCCTCCCGGTGATCCCTGTGAAAAGGGGCGGCGAGACGTAACACTCGGGCCTGCAGGCTGATCCTGAACGAAGTCTTTCGGTATGAGACGAAGTTTCTAGCGCTTCGTTACGTCCCTGGGCTGAACAGCAGAACTCTGCCCACACCTCCGCCCCGGCTCCAGAGGACGGCCAACCCCCGGACCGCCTGGACGGATCCTGGAGCCGCGGAAAGGCCTTCTACTCTCTACCCTCCTGCGGGAAGGCGGACCCAGAAGACCGTCCTGACGGCGCTCCCAGCGCAGCAGGCCCGGGGGCCGCAGCTCCGGGGGCAGGACTGGGTGGGCAATGACCTAGCGCCGGGCAGGGGGCGTGAGGGAGAGGATCGAGGGCTCAACAAGCAGGCCGAGGTCGGGGGATGGTACCGTCCATC